CATTTTATAAACTTTAACATCTTTATACACACTTTATAAAAAAGGAAAAAGTAAAACTTTTAATGGGCAAAACAAAATTTAGTTATATATATCATTACACAAATTAGAAAATAATCCCAATTGCAAACTGTTTTGGCTGTTAAATACTTCATATTGATATTGACAGCTCAAATAAAGTAAACTGATAAATTTTAACAATAACACACTCAATTAATTAGGCATTAGTTCCATTAAAAATGTAATGCAGTTTGATGAACAGAAATAAACCACATCATCTTCAGGTACAAAAAATTATTCTGCATACAAAATTCAACCTTACCTTGGCATCAAATTTGACAGAAACAAGCTGAAAAGGCATTTTAATAGATAACAGTATGTGGTTAACATCTGAAGCAGAAACATTAACTTTCAAGATCCTGCATGTGAATGACAGACATTCTTAAATACAAGAGACCACACACAGACACACAAAAAATAACATTACAATTATCTTTTTTTTTTACATATTTTGCTTAATATATCATAAAATTGAAATATTATAAAGGTTTACTTTCTAGTTGTTGACTGACTGACTGACTTTCTACACATTTCGTGATACTGCAGCAGTAGAGTGATGACAGATTTTGAAACCTCAGACAGATCTTATAAATGGCCCCCTAAATACCTTTTTTAAACACTGCCACATTATTATATAATGTATTATATTTTAATCTTACAAGCCTCCCATCATTTTTATTTCTGGCAAATGTCCCACTCATGTCATGGTTCAATGTAACTTATTTACGTTTATTTAAAAATAAATGCAATACAAAGTAATTTGATGCTTTTAGAGAAAATTGTGTTTTCATATTAATTTTTTCCTGCTCAAAATGTTCTTTTTTGAAGGTAGTCTTTCTTAATTTGTTTCTGCTGAATTTTGATTCTAACTTTTTAAGCATTTGAGCTATGTTTTAGAACTTTTTAAAGTTAAAATATATTTCAAATTTTAATCTGCTACTCTTTATTAGTCTTATCTTCACTGTTAAGTTAATCTTGAATAATAATAATCTTTTACATTACAAAAAAAAAAAAAAAAAAAGAGAGAGAATTCTAGAACGCTGTAACTAGGTCCTTAAAAAAATGGGAATTTGTAAACATTTTCAGATTAGTCAAATGATTATTTTCTAAACTTCACTTTTTATTATATGAAAATGTTCTCAATGCTCCAAATCGAAGTTTTTGGATTGTTTCTGTTATAGCTAAATGAAAAACATGACGCTTTATTAGTTCCCACTAAAGTATTCTGAATTACTCTTATATATCAGAAGGTAAGCACATCTTACCAGGTAGCTTGCAAAACATTTTTACAACTTTAAACAGCAGGAATAAAATATAAAAAATAATATGAATCAAATATCCTTTTCACTACTAGCAGTCCAGAATTCCTTTGTCTAAAACAAGTTATTTTCCTAGGACACAGCAGTGCCAATTTTATACTTCAAAATATTCATTCTCTACATAAAAACATTTAACCATTATTGGAAAGGAGTATTTACAGTAACTTAAATATTTTACAAGTTTATTTTTCACTCAAAGTTTCATTGTTGCAGTAAGAGAGCTGTTTACGATAACAAATGATTAGTATCTTAAAAATGTCTGCCCTAAATAATCCTTACAATTACAAAATGGCATTGATGTTTGAAATACTGAAATTTACTTTAAAACTAATGTAACAAATCACAAATAACTTTTAAATTGATTCTAACTCATTTAAATAATCAACTCTCTAGATGTACTTTGTATTCTATGCTGATGGGCACACGAGAGATAATCAAGACCCTGTTACAATAAAACAACATTTAACTGATTGAAATAAATTTGAAGAATTTAAGAGGATGGTATATTCACTTTGCAAAAATTATTATTTACTTTTCCATTAAGGCAAATCAATGATCTTTAAAATAAAAATGGAAAACAGAATCTTACTGACAAACAATAGAATCTAACCACAGCTCAGGAAACCCAGGGCTTCCTTATGATAAACTATTTGTACTTGAATTTAGCCTCCCCCCAAAAAAATATACAATTTAAATCCAATTTTAAACTGGGAATTGGGCAAGGAGTGGCACACAGGAACTTAAGTTGACCAGAAATGTATTCAAATCAGGGCAGGAGGCATTATTTCAAAGAGTGAATTTTTTTAAATAAGGGAACACACTGCAACCTTTCGATTTAACAATAAAATTCTTAGAAATGATTAATATTATATTTTCATATTGACTTTAAATATGCATATTGCACTGCCGGCAAAGCGTCACTGAGGAAGAATTTTATAAATATTCATGTGAATAATATTTACTTTCCTGTGAAAAATGTGAAGTGTAAGATAGATATATAAATAATTAATAGAAATAATTTAATTATTTCACTCCTAAAATATTCTGAAATTTTAGAATGTATGGCACAGACCAATTTAACAACTTACGGAAACTTATGGTTCGACACTAACATGAATGCTTAACCCTTTGATTATATGAATTTAAAAAAATCTACTCTCGCCCATTGTTCTGTGGGTGGTGGTCACACTGTGAAACCACCGCACGTCTAGGACTTTGAAACTTACTGAGGTAGTAGGGAAAAAAAATTACCACTTTCTGCACGCGTTTCGAAAAAATGACTAAATTTATGGATTTAAAAAAAATGTATGTAAGAATTGCAATATATGTCATTATTTTACAAAGTAAATTGTCAGGAAAAAAATGTTTATTAAAAAATAAACATTTATGTAATTTTTCTATAGCAGTAAAAATATAAGTACCTACAAAATAAGGACATTTCGATAAATGGATTAAAAACTCAGAAAAATAAGGATTAAAAAAAATCGTTGTTTTTTTTTTCCCCAAAGAACAATTTTTTTTTTGTGACACTTGTTCAAAGCATGTTTTTTCTTTTTGGTACATGCATAGACTCACACTGCACATTTCGCACATGTATCTTTTTCTATGAGGTTTCTTCCTTGTGCTACAAAATGTACATTGCCTGGATCTAAATTTCACTGGTATATGTCCAGCGTTATTTAGTTTCTTTTCATCTGGCACATGAAATTTGTGGTTTTTTATGTTAATGGTGGGGGCTTGGTCTTTTTGTCTTTGTACGGATCATTCGTTTCCCATTCATACTTATTTTATTCGTATTTCGTCCCCAAATATTCAGAAAATATTTTAAATTTAGATAAAACTTTTACGTGATTCCTATTTTTAATTATAGCAAAGTATATTAACATTAAATTAAAACCACAGGAAATAATTTATAAAATCGCAATACTAGCTTGGGGAGCAAGTGTGTTGAGGTCAGAGAAAAGTCTCTGGAAAAGAAAGACCTTTTGCTGGGCAGGTGCAAGTATTATTTAGTAATAAAATAACTCTGTGGTTTCAAAGCCCCTTATCTATATCCGGATAAAAATAAACATTCCTATTTGAAAAGCAAGCAAATGCCAGTGGTTTCAAGGCGCGACCACCGAACCTCTAGAGGACTGTGAGCATCGTGACACAATGCTCTAGTGGCGCAATGGTTGCGCCCTGAAACCACATAACAAATGCCATACTATAGAAGGATTTTTTTATATGTGCAGTTTAATTATTGCAATTTTTTATTGTTTATGTTAGAAATCATGATGTGCGATGACTAACTTTTGAAATTTAAAGTTGTTTATATTAATACAAAGAAGTTATTTTGTCTCATCGAAAACAAATTTTAAAAGGCATCCGATTTGAAGTATTAATATCTAAAACATGTATGATTCTGCAGTCTATTTGTGTTATTTAGAGGTAAAAGATCAGTAAGCAATTAATTTTGACTCAAAAATTTCGAAAAAAAGAGGAGGGAAAAAAATTGAAAAATGGTGGTTTCAAGGCGCGACCACCGTGCGTCAAAGGGTTAAGCAAATTAGTTTTGGCAGTACATATTTGAAGAATGATGCTTTAGTAGGCAAAACTTTTTCCTTTAATATATATTTCAAGATCCCAAATAGAAATGATAAAAATACTAATATTACATCTGTAAGGTCAAATTTCTTCTGTGAATGAATTTTTAAAGAAACTATAGCATATATAGCTGTGTTTCATTATTATTGCAATATCTCACATTACATTTCTTTTTTCTTCCTGTCTGAAAGAAAGTGGTCCAGATATTGGTCAACAGAAGTTTGTACTAGTAATTAACTAGAACTTTCAAGTTTTTCGTTCCCGCTTTAACATTTTGGAAACTTGCAAAAATGCTAAAAGCATACACAAATGAATCTAATCCTTATATTTTCTAATTTGAGGTTCCCTTACTTATTAGTTGGAGATTAAATATTTAAGACATTTTTCTACTTCTGTTAAAAATGGTACAAAGGGTATTTTGCTTATTTGTGTTAAAAAAATTGTAGCATGATGCAATATAAACTTCTTCTACTTAAAGCATTTCCTTTCTTAATAATATGATTATCCAAGGATACTGGAATTTGCTAATTCATTTTTCCTTCAACATGCTACAGAAATTACAGACATTTAATAATTAATAATACACTACTAAATATCACTTCATCTAGTCAATGGACTAATAAAATCATATACAAGAACTCAACAAAAACATTGGATGCACACATTATTTAACATACTGGAATAAAATTTTTGTTGGGAGTTAAGCTTTCAAATTTAAGCACAATCATTAGCCATGCCTATGGATAGCTCTGTTGGAGTCTTAGAAACATGATGATTCATTTAAAATGTTCTGAACAATAATCTACCATTAAAATACACCCTACAGCCTTCTGGCAAAAGATGGGAGTACATTTCGCTATTGCAAATAATTACTGTAGAAAATATCTCCTTACTTTCTTGAAAAATGAAAAGAATTAAAATGTCTGCTCGAGAATCTATTAAAATGACTGGTTAAATATTAACTTCAATTGAATTCATTTGTTTAGATAACTTTAATGATTTTAAATTTTTCTCCCCATTTAGAATAATACAGTCAACTACAAAATTTAGAAATATTTATTATTCAAAATTTAAAATGAATGTATTATCATTATTTAAACACACATTATTTTTAAACCATTGATGACAAATACAATTTTATGAAATTTGAATGTACGCTCATTAAAATTACCATGCTGAACATTATGAATTTATGTAGATTATATACATGATTTTACCTCATTCATTTTTACACCATGACTTAGGATATCATCATTTTGATTTAATAATTTCAACTATTTAATAAGCACTTTCATATATTCCACTCATTATATAAAGGCATTACAAACACTTATATGGCATTTATGAAAACCATCACTCATTTGCTGAGATACTTCCAATCAACAACTCAAGAGTTTACAGAGCACACATATAATGATTGGATTTACATTTAGTTAGAATACTTGTAATTTTATATGTGAAAATACACTATAAGATTACTTCATGCAGTTTTACCTGATTTCAGTCATAAAAGACATGCTTTTAAATATATATTTCAACTAATTTACAGAAATGACAAAGCTAGCTTCATGCTTTAGTGAAGAATATGCACAAAAACTGCATTAAATAGCAAGCACATTAAAAGTTAAGTTACAAATTCTTAAATCAAAAATAATTTTCTTGGACTTTCAGTTATTACACATTTTAGTACAAATCTCTGTTCAGCATTTGTAAAACTTTTAGTACTAATTTATGGAATGTTAATTTTTTGGAGCGATGAAGACATGGGAACATCCTTGCTTCCTACAAAACTTCAATGCAAATTACTAGATCAGAATGTTAACTATAGAGAAGGATAAAAAGCAATTTAATTACAAGTTGAATAAGAATCAAAATTAATACCACCATGCAAAATTACGAAAACATTTCACAAATAAAAATATAAAACAGCAAATACAACATTAAATGACATGCAAAATTTGAGAACCTTTAGGCATAATTTAATAAAACAATAAATAATTTAATAAACACATTAAAAAACGAACATTAACATATGTAAACCTTATATCGATAGGTGTATAGTTACAGACAGTTCAAGCCGGTAGGTAGTTTTGAAATTCATTGAAATTTTTTCACACGAAAAATTTTGATATGTTATTTTAACTGGGAACTCTTAATTTTCAGTTTCTTACAATGACCTTTTTCTACCCATAAGAGAATTTTCAAGACAGTTACTGCCATCTCCTAAGTAGATATTGGAGGACTCCCATAAAAAATTTGCACCTCTGACACAGACATTCTACAACCATTATTAAAGAGCACAGCTTTTAGGTTTTATTGCTTGTTTCCCAATATCATAAATTATGATGAGTTGAAAAAGTCAACATTGTAAGCCTTGTTCAGACTTATTTAACTTTCACACTCTCAAATTTTCCTATTTTATATATATATAAGTATATATATATAATTCCTGATGAGCTGAGATCATCTTTTTTCAAGATTCTCACTCAATGGCGACTAGTTAAATGACTAGGCCAGCTCAATAATACCTAATCAATACTATGATCACAACTACAGACACAAGCCCACATGGCTGCAACAAGTGAGCTTGTTTATAAATTGCCAAAACATCCCAAGAGCAAAGCTATAAAACTTATCCAGCAATCAATACAAATAAACTAGAACATACTCAAAGCAAATAAAAGCAAAATTGTTACAGCATCAATATTACAAAGAAAGAATTTTAATGATCTCAGCTAGATACTAATTTCTAAAATGGTTATAAAATTTTGATCAAACTGTCAGTGAAAACTTGCAATGCAACATCGGCCCCATTAAAGGTACAGTAAGAAGGTACAGTAGAGTCCTGCAAACTCTATCTGAGGCAAAAATTGAGAGGATACCAACTTATTGCAAATGTCGAGCTTTACAGAAGGGGTAAATTATTCACAACTCATATTTCAACTACCTAAATCTACGGACATTTTATTAATTCTTTTCTCTTTCTCCAGTCTCTTAAGGCATCCAGTTTCATTTTCACAGTTATGTTGTTTTCTTTTCTTCTTGTTCGGCATTTTTGCTTGCACAGGCAACACAATGCACTAGGTATAAGCCTCAGAAACTATATCCAGAATGAACTGAGAATTTAGCTTAAAATTACAGCCATAAACCTGACAACAGCCAGCAACACAAAAGAGAAATGTGAAAGGTAATTGACAGCAATTACCTAATTTTCTGCAGGCATTTTATTAGTGAAAAGAGGGAATAATGTAGACTGGAATTTCTATGAAAGGAATAAAACCAAACTCATTATATACGTTCCAAAAAATTGTATCACAAAGGGAAAGACAGAGATTGTAAGATCAGAATACCATAACAAATCTTTGAACAGAAGAGGAAAACTATGTGGAGATCCGTATTTACAAATATGTATCGTAATTTCAATACTGCAGTAATTTAAATATGTTTAGACTGTTTGCACCATACAAGAAATGTAAGAAATTATTAGTCTGCCTATTAATAGACCATCACATTATTTTAAAGATAATATCCTGCTTAATTTTATAGATTATGAAAAGAAAAAGAAAAGATTTTTGAGTTACATGGAATTCCTCTTAACTGGGAGTCGAGTTTTGAGGGACTCTACTATATGTGTACAGATTACAAAAGGCAAACAAAAATTACACAAATAATAAATCAATGATTATGCTTTGGATTTCTTAAATAAATAATATTTTTATCAGAATTATAATGCACTTAATAGAAACAGAGAAAATGGGGAAATGAAATCTTTTAATAATATCAAATTAGACTAGATTTACATACAAACTCGGATGTAACTACTGGGCTATGGACTTCTTCCAGTGTAAGTTTTTTTTTTTTTTTTTTTTTTGATTTAGCACATCATACTGCAAAGAACAGTAAAAATGCCAGAAGAATGAATAGTGGTGAGTAACAATTCATTAAGACTGCCAGTTTGGATATAAATGCCTCTAAGCTTTCCATGCTACTGAAAGATAAAAATAATCCAACTTCAATACATTTAAATTTTTTACCAAGTAAATATACAGCACCAAAAGTAAAGAACATTTTATAGAAAACTGTTATAATTTCATGTTTGATTTCCTGTTTCATAAACACATAAAAAACATGCGAAAATTTTTCCGTTGGTCATTTTGAAACAATGATTTTATCTGTACACAGAGAAATACTTGCATCAAATAAATAAATTCTTAAAATAATGTTAAATGGAAAATAAAATTGGACCTGCAATTTTAGAAAATATGTATCGACATTATTTTAATGAAGAATACCAGAACAAATAATGAGATGCTTTATTTTTTTTCACAAAATAAAAGCTGATCTAGAAATTACCTTTACATTTTTGTAAGCTAATGGATTGAATATAAACAAAATCAGGAGTATTAAAAAGAAAATCTGAGGTAGAAATGAGTTTCAGAATATGAGAATTTAAGCACCTGATTTTTAAAAGAATAAGTGGAAGATTAATAAAACACAGTTATATACAGTATCCTGACAATGATACTTCTTTCATCAGATACAATTTTAAATACATTTATAAAATTTTTATATGTTTAATGCTTATTATGTTAACAGCAAACAGTATAAGAAATTTGTCTGACCTTTTTGTTTTTAACAAACAAAACTATAGTCACTAAAAGAATCTGATTCAATATAGTAAAACAAAAATCTTTCAACATACTGAATGATTTACAAAAATTAAAGTACTGTAAAGCTTATCTAAAGTGTAAAATAAATGAGAAATCAGCTAAAAAGTCAAAATTAGGAATTCTATACATTAACTGTTGTTTTTTAATTGAGAGTTATCAATACTAAATCTCACAAGCTTTACAAAATAAAAATTAACAATATAGTAACATATGAAGAATGTATATCACGAAAGCACACTACAGAAACAAAAAACGAATATAATTACAAAATTAAATGGCTATAAATATGGAGGTCAGATGAATATTTTATGACGAATAAGCCTTTACAAGAAAAAAAAAAATCTGTCAACTAAAATTTGACAGAAGGCTTTTGCTCAATGATAAGGGGAAGGGGGAAATCTCAGAATTCAAGATCTTTACAACATACATTACAGTAAAAACAAATGAATAACAAAATCAATAACACAGACATAAAGTTCCTGAAGTGAATGACATGGCAGAAAAAAGGGAGCAGTTAACATTTTTAGATTATTTACTGAAAAGTTATCAGATAAAAAAAGAGTCAGCAAGCTGTGATGTTAAAACTACTTTTTAGAAAATAGTATTTACAATAGTTTGGCAACTTTAAATCGCAGTAACGTAACTATTTTGTTCAGAGTAGTGTTTTCCTCTTTCAAATATCTTTCTTAGATCAAACAACATTACTGATATGTTTAATAACAGAGTAACATAAAATTACTGAAACTGAGTCTAAATGTAAACAAATAAACCATATTTAAACACAAAAAATATATTCGGAGTAATCGAAGCATAACATACATATCAATATCTACAATATTAGTTTGATTATTATGACTCCACATACACTATTAAGCAATAATACAGGAATGATTTTTGATAAATGCATTTCATACTCAACACAAATGTAATTGCTTAAAAGAATTAAAAAACAAATAAATATATATATGAGAAAAAAAATTTCAAATGCATTTAATGACATCATACAAGGAACATTTTTACTTTTCTAATGTCATAAGCTACAGTTAGTTACTATAAATGCTGCAATACATTTCACTTTTAAAAGCATTCTTCATAAAGAAAAGTATTAATACCCCAAGCACTACACACAATTGCTGTAACTTCAATAAATGCTTTTCACTCAATTACACATAGAAGTCTTAAATTTAAAAAATTCAACACTGGATAGAAAACTTACTTTACACATGCAAACAAACTTAATCAAAATACGAGACATCTATGCTTTCAGCAGAGATTGAGATAAAATTCACAACAAATTATTTAAAAACTAAATATGCCTGGTGTGTATCTTCGCAGATATTACCAATGTAAATAATTTTTTGGAATTTAACACTTTATTAAGCTTGAAAATATCATAGAAAACACTATAACTCAATCAGCTTTATATCAAGTGCATATAAATACATAACAAAGAGGAAGAAAATGATGACCAGATTTATATTCCTCTTTCACAAATCTCTGTAACGGCTTTACATATAAAAGAGGGACTGTATTTTACATTTCATTTAAACCTAAAAAATATAATCAATATGTACAAAAATCAAAATTTAAATGTTACATAAATGCACACTTAAATGGAATAGTCACAAAAAAAAATTTTTTTTAAAGGGAGGATTAGTTAAATAATGCTAGTACATATTTGAGATTTACAAGTGTCAACAACACTTAAAATAGCTAGCTTCCTGACATTTATTAAAATGAATGAATCATCATCATGAATACAGAGTGCAAAATAAATTACCTACAACAATTATTTGCCTTTCTGAGAATTCTGATTTAATAAGAAAGGAAGAAAAGGGGGCTTAGAAAGCATGCAGATGAAGTGAGAATAAAAAAAAAAAAGGCAAACTTGCATCAATTGAAAAATAGTTTTCATTTAGCTAATGAGAAAAATATTTTGCTTCATTGATGGCCAGATAGTCAATGATGAATATGAACACTAAGCGAGGGAAAATACTTAAAATTAGACCTATTAAGCAATGTAATTTTAAAAAAGTCACATAAAAACAAAACCCACATACACATTGATAACAATTCTTATCTATACAATTGCCCATTTATGCGAGTACAGAACACTCATGTACCATATCTGCGTTAGTGCCAAAATATTTCAATCAAGGGCAATTATTGGCACTGGAGCTAATTGGTAAATACCCTGTGAACCATACAAAATATTTTTCACAAGATGGGGAGGGTATTCTTTTTCATCTATTACTACAGCACCTGATTTTTCAAAAACAGTTTGGACAAAAATACATTAAGATAAAACGCTTAAGCATTTGCAGTGTAACAACAGACTACTGTACTGGAATTACGAAACATGCATGAAAATTTCCATGCAGAAAATAACAGGGGTGAATATAAGCGACTACCTCACTCTGGAAAACTATTATTTTTCATTACATTGTGAAACATATTGAATTCAAGAAAATCCAGTTTTCAGAACAATGATGCTCTCCTCACTTTACCATGGTTGTTACTAATGTATCTCCGATTTTTTGCAAAAGTTTATGGCTAATATACAAATATCAGTTCTCTTAACATATTTACACAATGATTTTCAAATGCATGAATAAATCCAGTATTTCAGACTGAAGTATTTAAGAAGGAAAACATTAAGAGGACAAATTCAAATCACTATGATATAATAATTATTTCTCAATTTTTAAAAAGTTGACACATTCATTAAAAAAATATGTAGATAAATAAATATATGCAGCCATATGCATAAAACTTTGTACTTTAAACATAAGACAAATTTTTATAAACAGTGTTTCATTTGCATTCATTCGTTTTTGCATTCAAAGTTTGATTTATATTTGATATTACTTCGTTTGTACTAAATGCATAGCCCTACAAAAATGCATCAAATACATACGATCATGCCTGAAATCCATATAGTTGCACCTAAAATTTTGAACCATTCTTATGATGTGTTATTTTCAATTTACGAAAACTACAATATATCAGTAATTAACTCATTTGCATACAACACAGAAATGTAGTCGGTAACCTTTAATATAACTTTACTCAGTTTACAGAGAATTATTTTCTAATATAATATTTTGCTAATCAAAGACTTAAAAAAAAAAAAAAAAACTGTTCCATACATGAAATAGCATCTTTGCTGTGTATCTATTTAAATGATTTCCTTTTCATTTCAGTTCTGAAACTGGATTTATCCAATATAAATAAGAATAAATTCCACCATTATTGCACAGCACGAATCATACTGGCAGAATATTAAACACCCCTGTTACTAAAACACATGGAATTAAAATTTGCTTTCATCTACAAACAGAAAGACTAGTAAGAAAAAATAATAACTCTCTATTATATCATGATTTAGTCACAAAAAGCATATGCATAAACATGGACAACCATAGACATAATCAACTCTTAATATGTTTCATTTCTCAGCATTTTAGGATAGTATTTCCCAAGAATATATTTTGGTACAATTTCATTTCTCTAATTCAAAATACCAAAACACTTACAGCATGCAAAATTTATGAAAACACTGATGATTTCTCCGATCTTCCTTAAATTGTAGTAACTAACTGACATGTGAATAGTTTATCTTCACAGCCCGATGCTGAATTTTATATATCATTATTCAAAAATTAATTAAAAAATTGTACAAATGAGACCTTTACAGCTAAAATAAAATGGCATCCTTTGTAAGCTTTAACACAATCTGTTACGTAATGCTATAATAACTGAATTGAGATATAATTTTAAGTTTCAACTCCCACTTTTGTCATACATTATAGCACATATATATTAATGATTTTTCTTTATTATATATTCTGCTTCTTTGTTAAAGGAAAAGCATATCATAAAAAATCAGGACTGGATAATGATGAGCAGTGACAGTTTACAATAACCATAAGTAGTTGAATTCAAAATAAATATAAGCAAACATAAATTTACATGAAAAGCAAAACTACCACAAAAGCCATTACTTTATCTTTTAGCTCAACTGAAAAATATGCTATTCAAAACTGATGATAATGCCAAATTAAAAAATACTGAAAATCTGTGTGAAGAAATTGAAATTAGGATACTGTATAAATATGCACTGAAAGCAGACTAACAGACATCATGTCTCATTTATATTTAGACATATTAAGAGTTGAAACTATATATATGTGGACGCATAAACATAGCTCACACACACATACGCACACAATAAGCAAGTAAGCACCGATTTATTTAAATAGAATAATCTGGATAATATTCTTACAGTTAATTTTGTTCTAAAAGTTTATTTCTAAACAGATACGTATATAATAGATAGACTGATCTATCAATCATATGTACTACATAGAATATCAAGTCATCAAAGGAAGCTGTTCTCATCAATAATTATATAAAAATTCACAATAATAAAAGAGCAATTTACAATAAAATTTAAGGCATTTTATGAGTAAATTAACAAATTTTGCATAGTTAATTATTGCCTCTCCCCATATTTATTTAGAAATTTTGAAAATAATAACTTGCTACATTTAAAACTCTCAACACTTTTTTCAAAGGCAACTGAATAATCATTTAATTGATAGACACTTTAAATACCACGTAAAAAAAAAATATTGAATTATAACTGGAACAGTCTGTGCACAACTGAAATGCTTGTAAAATTCAATTCTGCATATTCCACACAGCTACATTTAAAATGTTTTATGACCCCCTCTAAAAAAATTATTCACAAATTTAAGGTTTAATTACAAATGGTTGCCAGCTAATTTTCTTCTGAAGATTATGCCTTTGGAAATTGCCAGATTAGACTAATAATCTGTGCTCACTTGGGTACAGAATTCCAAATGACTTAGTATTCAAGAATGCTCACAATGCAAATGATAAGGAAGCATGAAATTATAGAGTAATATTTACAAAGATAACATAACGTGCTTATACACAAATAGATTTTTCTATGTATGTGTAAATGTGTATCCATCTGTATAATGTCTACACAAAGACACAATTATATATTTACGCGCATATATATATATATATATAGTACATGTGTGTATATATACATATATAGGCACATACAATGTGTGTATGTAGTATACATACATATATATAAATATATATATACACACACCTATATATATATATATATATGTGTTGCCAAACATGGGTCACATAAAATAAATATATTGTGCCACTGTAAGATTATGCTTCAGTTTCTCCCCTCAAGCGTAACCTAGCAAAATCTTCGAATATTAAATCATCATCTCCATCATCAATGCATGCATCCCTATTAAAAAAATATTTTCTCTTTAGCACACGCATAATAGATAATTAATCATATGATTAAAATGCATAACAAACATAAGCATAATAACTATTAAATACTTATATAATTTATCTGATTAATACAAATCAAAAACAAAACATACATACCTGCAAATTATTATTTCAAATTACAAAATTCACTCGTAGGATTTATACAAATTAAGATGCTTTCATGAATAGAACTTACGTATCAAGACGAATGAGGTCAGTGTCTATTGCAACATTTTCATCACTCTGTACATTGGGAACAGAACTTGTGCTTCGTGTGGCATGTGGTGGAGGATCATCCGCAGGTTTTGGATGCATTAAAATAAATGGAAGTTCTGCTACTAAATCCCTATGAAAGGAAATTGGGAAAAAAATTGCAAGGATGCTTTTGAGAAAAAGGTAGCATAGCTCTTGAATAAAAATTATATACAAAAACACTACTTTTCCAAAAAATTTCCTTTTCCTCCAGAAAGTCTTTAAAAGTTTATCTGCATTTCAATGTAATGTATGGATTAACTGGTGTCTTTAAAAGTGAATGTTCATACACCTTGGATGGGAAAAAGGATGCATTCTCCCTAATGCATTCCCTCAAACAGGTGAGAATTAACCCCTTCGAGCCGGGTAGCGAAAACGTGCGCTTATCGCGGAGGCAGGCAGTGTCTTCCGCGAGCGTCTCTCCAGGGCCGGGGGCTTTTTTGCTACTAAGCCTAAATCCATGAAATTTCCGAAGTATCAACGCATTGTTTAATAATGCTCTATAGAGTATTTAAACGGCTTATGCTTTATAGATATTTATATATATATACTTTAATTAACTTATTTCTTGTTTAAATGCATATTTTACACATTTTATTTTAATTACTCACCATTTTATGACTTTTAACATTATAATCTGAAAACTAAATATATTACTTAAAATTCTCTTTTCGTATGAAAAATTTTAAAACAGGGATCTACACACAGTCCTACGTTACATTCCTTGAACTCGTAATAACTCATTTGCCATTTTGGAGGATTTTTCCGGGAATGTGAACAAACGAAGCATCGTCGTCTCATTTTCTTATCAGTCTCTTCTGAACAAAGTTTTGGAAAATGTCTTTCAGTTAATCTTTCAGAATCAATATCAGAATATCAGAATTTCAGAATCAATATCTGAAATATTTTGCATCATTTCTGCTATTTCATGCTCTGTTAAACATTTTCGACGCTTCGACATTGAAACGGTAAAAACAGAAAGAATTCACGTCTAACAAGATCTAATTATTTTCTAAAAACTGAACTGTAAACGAATGCTCAACGCTTTAGTGCATATAAAACTTCTACTTACAATAAACAACTACCACGTGCGAATAAAGTGCGATTTAAAGAGACGTCATAAATCACACCATTCGGAAACATTTAGTTCCACGTTTGTTTATATAATCAAAAACACGTGTATGTGAGTCATGCTTCTCTCATTTCAAGTAGAAGGTCTAATGCACATGTATCTGAAACCTGGACATACAGTGCCATCTTGTGGCAGAAATTATAGTTTGAAAAACGTTCCAAGGTACTGGCACAAATACGTGACAGTCGGTAGAGAATGCAACAATGCTCTGGGGCATGCCTGTGTGTCGGCCGGTAGATAAGTGTGTTCGTTGCTGGCACGTATACGTGCCAGTCGGCGCGAAGGGGTTAATGAAAACCCACACATTCTCAACACATCCTATACCTTTATGAATAGCAAACAATAACACAGTCTGATGCCACCAAGGAAATGAAATTCCCAAGAGCATACTTTTCACTTTTCTTAACAGCTTAGCAAATTAAGAAGTTTTCAGTTGCATATGGAGTTACAACTGAATGTTGTATTTTTTGGAAAATAAATTATATTTTACATATCTGTTAAGAGTCTCAGAATGAATGATTAAAACAAACCTATAAAATTATTTCAGTATATATGTTACTCTGTGGACAATATTTTGTACCAAATTATTCCCTAAATTTTAAACTTCTTTAAAATATTGTTTTGTAAAAAAATGTATTTATTAATGTCTATCTTGAAATCAGAAGGATTCATCCTATTGTACTTAAAAACTGTTAACTGTTGAAACAACATTCAGCAAACAACTTCCTTACCCTCCGAGTGGACCAAGGCATAACTTCACTTTGACTTTGTACTGGACAATGATCCCAAGATTCTCCTTTTGTGCTGGATCGGTTATGCTATAAAAATGTACTTTATTAAAACCATGGCATTTCATGCCCAAATTACAATAAACTACTTCAAAAACCAAAATTAAATGCAGGAAAATTTCTAAAGAAATATGTACGAATGAAACATATATAACTTACAAATATTAAACATTATATACATACAATAACACCCCACCTTTATGAACTCTTACAGATTGAAAGAATTGTTTACTTCCGATTCTGTAAAAGATGGATAACGATAGCGAATGAGGCTGCATGGTGCAGACAATAAACGAGGCTACATGATGCACACTGCAATATTGTGCAAGGAGTAAAAGTATGAAGCTAGTTTTCTTAACATCTTTCTCAGTCATGAATCTACAGCGTGACCCGCTTTATTTGGTTTTTGTCGTAAAATATCTGAAAATTAATAATATTTAAAATGGTTGGTGAAGAATGAAAATTAAGTGCTGATAGTGTGAGTGCAAAAATCCATTTTTCATTTTAAACAAAAGTGGCTATAACAAAGAGATTTAAAAAAGGTGGAGAAAATGGTCAATGTTGCACTTTCAAATAGTATTAATCCTTTGATGATTGGAACTATTCTTAAAATGATTAGAACACACTTAAGAACAAAAAATCCCGTACTTGAACATGCCAAATGTGCAGTGCTGATGCAAAGCAAAAGTTATTAGTTCAAAAAGAAGTATAGTGATGAGGAGATGAAAACACACTTTTTAGAGTGAATAGAGCACCAAACTCAAAACTGTGTGCCTCTCAGTCTTGCTCTCTCAAGAAAATGTGAAGTCTGTATTTGAACACATAAAAATAAAATACAGTTCAACTTCGGCTGATGGAACTTTCACTGCCTGTCATGGCTGATTTAATACAGTGGTCTCTAACTGGTGGCCAACAGGCTGGAGAAGCAAATAAGCCCAGTTCACATGCAATGCTAATTCGCACAGCTGCCGTTAGCAAGAGGAGAAAAAGGAGACATGAAAGAGTTTCGTTTTTAGGACCCATTCAGAAGACCACCGTCTTCATTCCCTTTACACCTAAGCCTCTGTGAATACTCACGTCTCCGAATTGGCAGATTTCTAATACTGTTTACACATTTTTAACGTTGTTTACTGTTGTTAATTTTGTAATCTGTACTTTCGCATTTGGTACCTGAACTTTCATAATGGTTCCTGAAAAATATATACTTTTTAATTATTATTATTATAAGCTGTTATTTAGTTCACTCTTGGAGCTTGTCGCTATGGTTAAAAGATGGTCATGGATTTTTAAACTGCTTGGATAAGATATAGAACTCAAACTTTGTACATACACTGCTTGTGGATGTGGTGTAATGCTTTTGATTTTTAGAGGATTAGATTTTTTCAAATATAAAGTTAAAACGAATTTTTCCAAATATTAACAAATAAACTGAGAATCTCAGAATATTATAGTTTGCACCATAACACAATGTGGAGGAAAAAAAATTAAATGAAATTTTTAGCGTAATTTTTTAAAAATATTTTGGGAGAATTTTTGAAAATCGTTCATATTTTTAGACTTTTTGACGCCCATTAATTATAAAATTTCATATCTAAAAATATATTGGTTACAAACTTCCGACATTTTCACAGCTTATAAAACAAAGTTTTCACATTTAAAAAAATGATAAAGGAAATTAACTGGATGATTTTTTTTTTTTACTTTTTTGGAAGATATGCAATGAAGCAGAATGGGAAATATTGGTTCTTCTTGGGCATCAATTCGAAACATCGGTTTCAAAGTAATAATCTCATTATACCACACTATTTTTATGACATTTATACTATATAAGTTGTTATTGTTGCCAGTTGTTAATTCAGCGTGAGATTAGAGATATTTCTGAGTTCACTTTCTCTTAAGATGCGTTTTGCATTCCAATGTGTTTAACGTTCTTATTATATTGAAGCATAACTACTGATTATACTTAGTGATATTCTAAACACTTGTACGAGTATTTCTGTGGAAAATTCCAGAACTTTGAAGTGTTTCTGTTGATAAAATAAATTTAATTAAGCTATCATCGGATTTGAGTGCAATGACAATCATTACGAACTATTATCAATCTATTACCAAACCCATATGCAAGCAACAATATTATAATTAATTAATGTATTAAAATTGTTTTGAACGTGTTTTACAAAACAAAAACAGGTAAAGAAAAATTCTGCTTGCGTTTTCAGTAATAAAATTTTAAAGATTTGAAATGATTAAATATCTATATAGACAGTTTGTATTCTTTAAACTGCAAATGCAAACTGAGAAACCTTTTGCATTTTTTTCAATAAATCTTTTTACTTAAAGTCCTAAAACATATACAGGTATAGACTAAATTATTTATTATTTTTACTGCTTATTTAAAATTATATACTTTATTGAAACAAGGATGGGTTTTGCAAAATACTGAAAAGAAAAATTATTTGAAATGAAAATGTGACTGATATATTTGTTTTTTTTAAAGATTTTAGATAAAAGAGTATTTTTATTTTTTTTCTCAGAAACTAATTCATTAATTGCAAAATCATTCCTTGAAGTGATTAAGGACACTCTAATAAAAATAATCAAAAAAAATGGGGGGAGACATTGAAAATTGTAGGAGAAGAAAGACATTTTAATAGTAAAATTTTTCTTCAAAAATTTAAATTAAAAAAATTACTAGCATAAACTTTTTTTCAGCTTAAAATCATTTTGTTTCACAAAACCATTTAATAATATTCATAAAAAGTAGACGGAAATGCTTAATTTTTTTAAAAAAAAATCATTGAAAAGGTACCGAGTCCCTTGTCGCGTTGATGTCGATATGCACTCGTCTTTAGTTTTAGTTTGAACAACATTTCTGGAATACCTAGCATCAGATAACCTTGTCTGTATTTGTCTATAATTTCTGTATCTTGTACAGTTCTATCTAATTTTTTTTTTGGGGGGGGTGCTATCATATACCCAGACATCTATCAGCGCGATTATTTTGCTGACAGTCCAGCCAGCAGTAACTAAAATTAAGTGAACCTCGCAGTATAGTACGGGAAATCTCCCCATTTGCCCTGCTCCCGAGAGGTAAGGAACATTGAACCAAGTTCTACCTCCAATTCGGCGCTGCAGTTAATGCTTGTTCCATGTGAATGGGACACGTTGGAAGAACCGGTTTTCGCTACCGGTCGAATCTGCTCTTGTGAACGGGGCTAAACACAGAGCCAGTGAATACATTTCCCCCAAATTAATTAGCATTATTATGGCAAGAATTTGAAGAAAGATATACATCGAATTTTACTTATTTTCATAACCATCAAAAATGAATGTGTTTAATACCATAAAAATCTACAGATGGAGCTAATTAATTTACACTGTGATATAAATCTTATGCAGATTTTCTTTAACTTTTTTCACACTTTTCAAAAGATAAATACCCACTATTTGAACATGTTAAAAATATCTGAAATAAATGTTTGTTAAAAATTTAATATCTAGTAATTAATACCTTTGAATTGCAAAGTGTAGCAAAACGAAAGTTCTTGTGGATACCAACTTTTAGATTTCAGTCAGAAATAGGAATTTCTTGGCATCATTGTTATTGCTATTTATGTACGTTTTGATAAATACCTAATAAGTAAAGTTTTAAATTTAGCAATAAAATTTGTTTTGCTTAAAAAGTAAAGTTTCACTTTGCTTCTCCCCCCCAAATTGCCCTCTTAGCTGCTTTCAGAGAATGCATTTGCCCTGCACTAATTTGAGGTCGAGACCCTGGGTCTAATAAATTTTTTAAAAATGCTCGTTGTCATCAAGTTGCAATAATTGGAGAGGAAGTGCTGATATGACTGCCAATGAAAAATTAAAAAAAAAAAAAAAAAAAAAAAAAACACTAAATTATTGATGCTGGTATCTGTACTGCACAGCAAATAATTAATGTGGACAAGATAGGTCTTCTTCGTCTACAAGATAGGATTTGTCTACAAGATAGGAAAAGAAAGAGAGATGACTGACTGATGTAGATTTTCTCTTCTTTGCAAGAGAAAAATCTACATCAGTCAAGATGGGGGAAAAACATGGCTTCAGTTTAAAACAGCAGAGGTTTTGGGTGCGTATAATTATGGCACATGAGGGCTATGTGCCTACAGGAAGGGATGCCTCCATGAAAGACAATCTAAGGAAAAGTGGCTCACATCCATGTTACACATGTTGAAAACCATGAAAATACCCATGCAGCCAGCCTGTTCTGGAATTAAAACTAGGCCGAACTACTAGTATTCTGTTACTTTACCACTCAACCATTGGTGGGCACAGCAGCAAAGGATAAACATACTCTTGCTGGAAGATAATGCTGCTGGAGACTTTCAACATGAAGCCCTCATTAGCCCTGCATTGCTAACCCTAGGGCACTGAAAAACATAAATAAAAGTTCCCTTCCTGTTACATGAATGAGTAATTGGAAAGCTTGGGTGATGCTAGCTATTTTTGAGGACTTGTTCATTTGCCACATCATCCCAGAGGTGGAAAATGTACTGTCAGAAGAAAGGAATTCCCTTCAAGATTCTCGTGATTATATATAATGCACCTGGCCATCTACAACAGTTAGATGATTTCCATCCTGATGTTACACCTGTGTTCGTTAAAGCTGTGTTTTTTCAATAACACTGTGGTACATTAGCTATATTTACTACAATACAGCTAATGGACAATTTTAAAAAAATTATTATTATTATTATTTAAAAAATTATTATTATTATTGCATTATTGACAATTTAAAAAAAATATTATGCATGCCGTATGTACTCCCAGTCACTTAAAAGACATTGGAGAAAAACCTAATGTCCTTTTACAGCACTCTTGGAAGAACTGCAATATTTATAATTGTGTTCAGAACATCCACCATGAGGAGATGTAAATATAGAGTCTAGAAAAACATGTGCCCCTAGCTTGTTCATAAATAACTTGGATTTAATCAAGAATGAAAGGGAAAAAAGTCCTTGTCTCCTCGATATCAGTAGGCAACTTAATTT